TGCAAATCCGCTCTTTCTCTCTCTATGTCTCTCTGTTCCCTCTATCTACTTTCTCTACTTCTCTTCTTCGTCTCGTCTACTCTCTCTCTCTCTCTCTCTCATAGCTCTTCCTGTTCTACTCTCTTCTCGCTCTCTATCTCTCTCTCTCTCCGGTCGTAGCCCCTATTGTGTCCTCTGGTTCTCTCTGCTGCTCTCATCGTCTCTCTCTCTCTCTCTGCTCTGCTCTCTCTCTCTCTCTCTCTCTATCTCTCTTCTCTTCTCTCTCTCTCTCTATCTCTCTCTCTCTCTCTCTCTCTCTCATCTCTCTTTCTCTCTCTCTCTCTCTCTCTCTCGCTCTACCTATCTATGTGCGTGTGGCGTGCGTTTGTGTTGCGCGCGTGCGTTGGCGTCGTCGTCCGATACCGGTCCATCCTTCGTCCGTTCCGTCCGCTCGTCGTCCGTCCGTCCGTCCGTCCGTCCGTCGTCCGTCCGTCCGTCCGTCCGTCCGTCCCGTCGTCGTCCGCTCCGTCCGTCGTCCTCCGTCCGTCCGTCCGTCCGTCCGTCGTCCGTCCGTCCGCTTCATCGTCCGCTTCGTCCGTCCGTCCGTCTGTCATGTCTGTGCGTCGCTACGTGCGTGCGTCCCCTCCGATCCATCCATCCACTCCATCAGGCGCTGTATTCTTGGCATTTAAATAAATTGGTCATTTCTTATGGCTACAGGTCTCTCAAACATGATCTAGTCGACGTTCTTCATAATTATATTATCTAATAGTCACAATCTATTATAATTTTATTAACGATCTGTAATCGTTCTCACCTCTGCACTAGGATGCCGGACCTGGCGTCGTTAGCGGAGTTGCCATAGGCGACAGCCGATCCAGATCCGCCAGTTCCCGAGCGGTGAGGATTCCAACCAAGCATACTTACAACGGCGGCATATCTCAAACGAGCTACTCCGCAGCTAATGAAGATTATCATCATAAGACCAGGAGACAGTCTAGTTACAGCTGAGTAACCAACATAATGAAGGGGGATAGGGAAGCTGAAGTGATAACCCAGGCAAACGAGCAGCACATTACGTGACGATTCAGGGCGGTCGTCACTACGACAACGCGACTGCGATTCCAAGTGCGCAATTGTAAATTGAGAGAGCGATAGAATTGAGAGTGGAGAACTTTGGCCGGGTTAAGGGTTGGGGATAGCTAATAATGCACGACGTATGTTGTTTGGTGCTGTCATGGTCGTCTTGATACGGCAATACGACACTATCCGGAGGATGATCTATATTCATGCTGATACGTTGGCCCTAAATTCCCGGCGATTACCGAAGTTATCTTTAATTTTTAGTCGTAAGGCCTAAAATTTTAAGTGAGGACAGAATGTGCCAGAACGCGCAATCAAGGGATAGTTAAGGGCCAGCTAACTGTGCCAAACCAGCGGTTATCAAGGCCATAGTATGAACCGCACCCAATCGTCTGACGGATTAGTTGTTAAATCGAAAGAGTGAATTGCCTTAAGATTACAGGACGTATTATATGTATGGCATTATAGTAATTTGGTATTACATCATATACATGATTCCCGTTACGAGACTATGGAACGGCTACTTAATACAGATTAGACTCGGAACTGAGCCGACCATAGATTACGTCACACTAGGATCCGTTTGCTACACTGATAACCAGTACTATTCACATCGTACTATAGTGGTGTCCCAACCATAGAACATAACTATAGCATAGACTTAGATTAGACAGTTATCGCTATATGATTTCTATGCGCAAACGCAGGAAAGAGTGATTGTAAGACTGACCGGCTATATGAAGCGCATCACACGGGGCTTTGTAAAGTCCGATTAGCTTTTTCCATTGCGGTATGAATTTATCTAACTTGTACATAATAGATCCTTGTTATTGTGCGAAGACTTTACCACGTCTATATGAAGTGTTAAATCATAAGAGCGTATCAAAGTCGCTAGTTGTCGAAATTTCCTGTGTTATTGTCTCTATAACATATGAGTGGTACGCGATGTAGGCCAGGTATGCACGCAGAGCCAGCAGCGGCTTGCGGCCAAACAGCACATATGCCATGAGCGTGAAGGAGACGCGCTGCGTATTATATGTTCTATTATTATCGTATGCAGTATTTACGGGTACGGTTACGACGGTTAGTTCAGTTTCCGGATTACTATAAAGCCGTTATAGAAAATGATGGCAACAATAGCGTTACATATTGAAAGGGGTCACGGACCATTTAAATTTGGGTAAAGGAAACATAAATAATTCAAGAACACACGCCAACAATAATTCTCAAGAACACGACGAGCATAAAGGATCTACTGACCATCGTTTATTATTTGACTGTGCAAAGCTGCAGATTTTCTAAACATTGTTGAAATCTTTGTGACATTCAACTCTGTGAACATTTAAATTACCGCCACTACTCGCAAGTTATGTTGTTCACACATACGTTTCTGTGCAATAGCGTGTTGCCAAAGCCATCACACACAAATGCTATGTTCGCGATTTCTTTTTCCCAAAAAGGTAACGGAGGCCTAAAATGTTTAGCAAAGAGACCAAAATATTAACGAGTACATTCGGAACATGGACCAAGATCGAGAAACTTCAATCAATAAACTTTACTCACAGCTGATGCTTGGCCGAATTTAAGTGTAAAATTAATGCCAGTAATTACAGGTGCACGCTTCATCAGTTTCTTGACCGCCACCGTTGGAACTTCTATCGAATATACCAGTTGACGAAATATAGCTAAATGATAAACAAAAGTTTTCTATAAGGGAGAACTTCGTTAGTTATCGTATGCCAGATTCTCACTACAGCTGGAAGCCGTAACACATTCGAATAAACACTATGACACCCCATTACAGCACAACGCCCGCGACGCACACGCACACGACACACGACACACACCATACCACACAGCACACAGGCCACACGCACGCAACGCACGCACGCACGCAGCGCACGGCACGCACGCACCAGCACGCACGCACACACGCACACACACACACGGACACACACACACACAACACACACACACACGCAAAATACACGCACGCATTTATACACTGCACACGACGGCACGCACGCAGTAGTACACTCACACACGGCCACGTACACAACACACTCATACACGCAGGTACAACCAACATACACTCATACATGCACACGACGCACACATACACACACACTCACACACGCACACACATCCACACACTCACACACGGCACACACACTCAGCACACGGCAGCACACAGTCCACACACTCACACGAACCACCACACACTCACAACACGCCACACACACTCACACACATCGCACACGCACAGATATAGCACCACACTCACACACTTCACGCACGCGACACACATACAAGCAGCACTCAAGCATATACACACCACTCACATACATGGCCACAGCATACAACACAGCTGCACGACACGCACACATATCACAGCCACATCACACAGGCAATATGAGCAGCAGCACTCATACACATACACATATACACACACTCACATACATGCACACATATACACACACTCACACACTCACACAGGCACATATACACACACTCATACACATACACATACACACACACGCACATACACATTCACGCATATACACACGCCCGTTCCCACACACATACATTTAATATATAAACTTATGTTGAGCTACACAACATAAACACCTAAATATGTATATGTACGTACTCGTTACACCTGAGATTCCCTCGCAAAAAAGCGATAAGTAAATTTCCAGGTTCATTACCACAGCAATAGCGCTATATCATCGGGAAATTTCGGTAACCCCCACTATCAGCATGCGTAAATTATGGAAATTCCTGAGGTAATATGATGCCAAGGTAGCCAACTAAGAGAAGAGACCACTCAACACAAGCACCGCGCCTCATGTGCTCGCCTCGCGACGTTCCATGTACAATGAGGATGTCGCATGCTCTTATACAACGCTCTGCCGACCTCAAACGCGTCGCGCCTCAAAACGAACAAGAGGACATCGCATGCTCAACAGGCGTCGCGCTCAACGAAACAAGCAGCGACGTCGCACGCTCATACGGGCATTTTTTATTTTTTTCTCGCGCTCATGCCGTCCTCAGGATGATGTGCACGCCGGAGTCGGTCGACACGATGTCGCTCAGCTCGCCGACCTTGAGCGCAAACGAGGCTTCCTCGAACGGCTTCTGCATGCGCGCCCCTGCAGCCGAAACGACCGCCGAGGCGTCACCGCCGCGCTTCGCCGTGAGCTGCAGTCGCTGAACTTGGACGCGAGTGCGGCAAACTCCTCGTCGCCCGCGGCGATCTTCTGCCTGCGAGAGACAACAGTACTTTAGGAATTACTAATTAATTTTAATTTTAATTTAATTAATTAATTATTATTTAATTAATTTTTAATATTACGTGATTTTAGCAGTATTATAATGGCGTTGCTGCAACTGACGGGGCATCGTCATGGCAACGCAGAAAAGCCGGAGGAATTTGGTAGCATTGGTCGAATAAATGTACGTTGTTTAAATGATAGCGAAGGTAATGACCTTCTGCCTTCAAAAGACGACGCATCGTTAGCATTTCAGCAGCATGATCATGGCGTTGCTACAACTTATGGTATCCTCCAGCAACGCAGAAAGGCTGGAAGGATTTTGTAGCATTGCGTGGGAATAAATGCGGCGTCGATTCGATGCGCAATTAAGGGGAGGGTATGATTTGTGGAGCATTGCCAGTGGAACACATGGTCATGGCCAGCAGGGCACAACGGAGGGTGAGAGGATTGGGTCACACGGACGTATGAAGCTTAGCTGTGTGCGACAGTTTGATCGTGCCATTCTTTCCAGTATGCTTATCACGGAGAAAATACAACCAACAAGTGCCGTAGAGCGACAGCGCTCAACTGACGTGTACTGTAGCCGCGGTATTCTTCTGATAACTCACTGGCAACCGAATCAATGGTCGCGCCCTCCCGCCACCGCGTTGATAGGCTTTGCTATACTGGCTAGTACAGTAATAAAGATATAGCGGTGTAACTTTAATGACTTCGCTATATTAACGTTATCATGGATATGCGGTCGAGCTGATGAGCGTAGTGTGGGGAGAGGGTGGGGTGCAGGGGAGGGTGGAGGGAGGGGGCTCTATAGCCAAAAGCAGTCCAATCCTTTGTTAACAGTCAACAAATCCATGTGTTAACCCTCCTCTTGATGGTCAAAAGGTTATCAGACACTTTCCTCTTCGCCATCGTCAGCGGAAAGTAGATTTCACGGTCCTTTCAATAAAGTGATAAAAATGAGACTAGGTCAGTGCTGAAACAAAAAATGTTTTGCACTCGGTCCGTCTAGACCATGGATGTCCTCAGAAAATGTCTGATATCTGACCTTTCCCCACTGCACTGCCCTTTGACCTGTGACCTACAATTTCGCGCTGGTGATGGGTTTCCTCCCCATCACACACTATACATCGAATATTAAAAGCGTAGGTCGAGCCGTTGAGATTTGTGCCGCAATTCCGCATTTCCTCCTATTCCTCTAATTATATACCTTAAATTAAGGGGGAAATGTTCCCCCTCCATTGCATTGACACATCTTGACTTTTCACCCCCCAAATTCGACATCCCGAGTCCCTTTCGCGATCCCCCCCGACGTCCCAAATATCAAGATCGCACGTCGCGCGGTTAAGATTTGTGCCGTAACTGTTGACGCATGGACGGACGGACGCACATTCATGCGATTCTACAAGCTACATCCGACTTCGTCAGCTGAGCTAACAAACACATAATATGCATTCTCCACAGCGGGCTCTATTTTAGTTTATAGTAAATTATGTAATTAATCCACAATATAAAAGATTGCAACACATTCCAGTTTAATTTATAGTGTGCATGTGTGTCAGGCATGTCCCTTCACTGCTGCGCCACCCTCTTGTATACCTAAATCCCATTAGAATCTCTAGGGCTTCTTCTTTGGTCCGGGTGATATTCTCCTCTCTCCAAGAAGAAGGCCTGCGTGAATCACGATGCTTCACCAATAGGTGGCTGCACTGCACCTAGAATAGAATATGTAATTAGGTGGGGATAGTTCCTGTTAGCAACTCAACTTCAACTAAAGAGAAATCACCAGCTGCAGATATTTTTATAATACAGTAATCTCTAACTGATCTTGTCTCGGATAAACTGACATGCTGCTTAAAATAGATAAACCTCACAACAAAAAGCCTATATAGACCTACTGTGAGCATACTTGCAGTGTGCAAACATCACGAAATGTTCTCTATTATTAAGCCAGAGAAGTGCTACAAACATTGGGATTTTCAAAATCGCGTCCGACGCGGTAATGTTACACAGCTAACAGTAGCCCTACGCTAGCGCAAATAGTTCCTGGAACAAAAACACTATATTTGTTTCCCGATTGCATAAGTAATATATATATTATAACGATATGATTTAAACAAATTTCACAATTTTGTACTGAATAAACATCGAATAATAAATAACTTGTTTTATCATAGAAAGGAACTGTTAATGAATCATGATCAAGTAGATCGATCCGCTGTGTCCCGGATGTGTAAACATCACTGTGGTGCTACTTTCGTAAGAGAAGTATTTCGTTTAGATTTTGAGAAGAAATGTTATGAAAGTAGCAATAAAAATGAGTTGTAGTGATACTAGTGAATTTTTGCAACATATGCAAGCTCACAGTAGGTATATATATATGCATTTAGCTGCAAGGTTTTGCAACTTTAAACGACATGGTGACCATTGAAAAATAATCCTTATGCAAGTTGAGTAAGGAGACAGGTCCTGGATTAAATGGGGGCCTTTTCTGCTGAATACACTTCTTTCTTTGAGCACAAACGTTGCAAAACAATCCTAAACTTGAAAAGCAAACTGACAATTCTCTGCATTTCACATACCACGGCAATACATACATACCACATTTTCGGCATGTCACGTTGTGTAGAGTTGGTTCCACACGGTACAAATAGGCATGCACGTGAAAACTATAAACATGTTCCACACTCAATCGGGACTACCACTTAGCCGCACCAACTTCATGATTCCCGACCAGTCCCGATAAAGCGGGGCCCTCTGTAATACATTATCTAATATAATATTGTAGGATACCTATGATCACAGTAAGCTCCTTGTTCGTCTGTAGCAGTCAGAAAAGAGGCCAAGCAATTACTAGTCAGTAATTTCTGGCCTTACCATCGCTAGGTAAACGATTACTCAGAAATGATGCAACCTGTAATAGAATGTGCTAGAACTCACTTGATCGGTCCCCCTGGAAGCCATTTCCGCTGGTTCTGTCGGCAGCTCCCACTGGCTCTCCTTTGTGTATGTGTTGATGTAGTAGGCCTGGCCAGTCTTCCTGCTCACTCGCTTGTCCCAGCCTTCAGGCAACTGTGGGCTGTCACTAGATTCTGGCGAGTGGGACATGGTCTTCAGTTATGCTACAGATGGCAACGATGGCTCATTCAGATTTCAGAAACAGAATGTTATGTATGGTAAAAGCCACGGCAAACGTAACGAGTCAATTAAATTCAACTAATTAATGCTGCTCATGCAAATACGTCTGATTAATAATAACATAACACATTACGTAATGTAAACTAATTGGCGCAAATGACGAAAGAAGATAAACATTAGGCAATATATCAATAGTAACTTCATAACCTGATATTAAAGCTGATAACCTTATCAAAACATTGTGATAATCAGAGATTGTATAATCTATATTACAGTAACCTCGTCATGATTACTCTTTACAGTTCAAGATGGAATACAATGTCGAATAGCTCAACACTGCAGACAGGAGCAAGTTTCAGTCTTACAATTTACTATAGAATGCTGGGGGGGGGAGACAGAGAGACAGAGAGAGGGAGAGCCAGTATGGAATGCCAGAATGCCAGAATGCAAACGATCGCACAACCAAAACACACATATCCATGTTGGTGCTCCTATTTTCCAGGTAATGGTGAATAGTGTCTTGGCAGGCAGCAATTGAAATTAATTATTGTGTTCAATTACTTGCCAAATGTATTACATGTAGTAACGATTGTATATTTTGTTGCGTTTCAATCATAATGATAATGTGATCACTAAGCTATAAGCAGTTTATTTACCTTCTCCTCACAGCTACTATTCAATAGCTCAACACTAACCCATGCAATGGCAGTGGAAGACTGCCCACCCCTCCCTGAAAAAAATGCAGGGTACGTGTTTACAATCGTTTCAATTCAAATATGAATGTGTGTTTCGGTCGTGCTATAGTTTTGCGTTGGGGTCATTTTGGCTGATAGGGCCTATGTCTCCCTGGGTACTGCCAGACCGTACCCCGCCTACTCCCAACCGTACCCTGCAGGAGGGGGACAACTGTTACACTTCCTGTGGAGTAGGCGGGGTACGGTCCGGAATATACCAAACTGAAACAGTTACCAGGGTACGTTCCGGTATACCGGACCATACCCACCCAGGGTATGGTCCGGCAGTACTCAGGGACACATAAACCCTATCAGTGTCAATTTGGTCATGTTAGTTATAGAATATAGGGATTTAAATGTGGATTTCTAGCTGGCTGGCTAAAGAATATAAATTAAGTTTATGATGCAGCCCAGGGTAATTTTTCATTGTGCCACGAACTACAACGTTGCCTGCCACACTGTGTAAGCATTCTAATATTATTCTCAGATTCTGATACTGTGTAGTGTAGGGAAGGGGCTACACCGGCGGTGCCTACTGTAGCTGTGTACCGTGTGTAGACTGTACTCTGTAGTGTCAGTGCACGGCACTGTACAGTGTGTAGAGCCAAGCCTGACATTGATCATAATGAAAGATCAACACTGCGGGAATTCAAAAGAAGCATATACATTTATATATATATATATATACATACTTTCGTCTACGCTTACACATTACTCACCGGCAAGAACCGAACAGACCCCACAGAAAAAGGTAAAGGTAATCACAAAAATAATATGCTCTACCTCACCATTTCTACGGACACATGCGTAAAACGCGGCAGTGTTTTCAGAAGTATCATCTACAATTTATGGGTCTCGCTGAGGATATACTCATTAGTTATTACTTACTATTGTTCCGTAATTCAAGAAATCGAAAAAAATAATGATAGATAAAAAGCTTATTTAATTTATTGTAATAAAGAAAAAAGTATCATTCATATTAGTGTCATTCATAAGAACATTCCATGAAATACTCTAAGGGGCATGATTCTTCGTCAGACTTTATCTAATCCTCAATAGTATAGTGGTTAGTATCCCCGCCTGTCACGCGGGAGACCGGGGTTCAATTCCCCGTTGGGGAGAAATTTTCCCCCCACGTTTCTTAATTTTTGTATTTGCCATAAATTTATATCATACTCGCTAAACACATGCTCAGTATTTTGTACTGGCTTGATACTGGTTATTATTATACTATTTATATAATTATAGAGAGTTCCGTCTCTCTCCCTCCTCCTCTCGTTCCTTGCTCTCCCCCCTCTCTCTCTCTCCGTCTCAGATATCTGGTTGAAAGAACGAACGCTTTACACTTTCCGACGTATAAATGGCCCTAAACCAATCAATTAACCTGATTACATGCAGACGGTTTATCCTCTACACATGCCCACGTTAGAAATTCTCATATACAGACTTCAGTGTTAGCGAAATTACCCGTTCTTTGTGCAACGTCATATATATCACGATGGTGTGACATAACTAACCAGGCTAGCTGTTATTACCTCCTGCTAATACCTAATTAGCAGGTATAATAATATTACCTCCTGCTAATACTTATGTGGCGAGACGTAATCCTTATAAATGTCATATAATATAATACACGCCATACCATAATTTAGTACACTAGCATACCTAACGATGACGCAGCTATATAAATGACCATTTCGTTTGTGCAGTCTCCTCCGCAGCGTGTGCGAAATGATCTCTTTAATTTAATGATCACCGGTTGCATCTTATATGCAATCCGCCTGAATCTTGATCTGTGACACCAGGCCGTACTAACTAAGGTAATACCTCGGAGTGGATCATACCGGATCCGTAACCAGGGGTTACGTCCGGCAGGCACGCACGGTTGGACAGCAGGACGCCTACTGAAGCCCGTGTATAGGTATCCCACTGACCGAGAGACATTTCGTTGTGCACCATCACGATGAAGCATGCGCCATCTGTGTGGTCGATGATTAATCAACTCACTCGCACCCGTCGGACGCCTCCAGTCTATGGACAGCTGCCAGTTTCGCTCTCACACATACTTGACTCCACGCGGATGAATCAGGAGACCCGTATTTACAACCAATATATCACGATGCTGTGACATAACGAATACTTATGCGGCGAAGATTATAATGTATATATACGCATACATAATAGTAATAGATATAAGATGACATATATAATGACATTTCTTGTGCAGTCTCCAGCAGCGTGGCGAAATGTCTTTTACATTATCACCGGTGGATCTTATTCATCCCTGAAATCTGATCTGTGACGATCGAGCCTAACTAAGTATTACTCACACTGAATTAAACACCATGTACGCAAGCGCGCACACACACACACACACACACATGCACACAACCCAGTACATCCATCGCGCACTGCATCGAACACACGCACGGCCGCCCCCCTCCAACACAGCACACAGCGCGCATCGAATATTACCATCCACTATGAATTCGCATGCGCCTCCCGCCGCCCACCTACCTCCCAACCCAGAAGGAAAAGCATTCCGCCCGTTGACGGGTAGGAGGAATAGTAGTAATTACTTTATACCCAACCTCGGTTCTATACGATTAATCCTGAGAGTAACTGCAATGTTACCACAACACTGAGTGCACACGCAATAGCCGCCGCAAACCGCGTCGGCCATACACCCAGATACATTTAAATGAGATATACCAATCACTTATTGCACATATCTGTTCTGGCCCTATTCTCACATCGTGCTTCATCATTAGAAAGAAACATAGATAGTCCTCATTGGATAATTATGACACTTTGCATCCACTACTTTATAAATCAAGACTCCACTTGCCTGGTACAGTTTGACTTCCTAATACGTTTCCAAACAGGTGACATATTCACTTGCTAACAAAACTGTAAAATATCATTAAATAGTGTGTCTACTACCACACGGATTCTTCAATTAAAGAAATATACAAAATTACTGTTCGCATAGTATAGTGAAACGCTCCCTGACAGAGGAGACTGCAACGCATTCCGTCTGAAACCAAGCATCTATAACAAATTCTGCTCGCACAGCAGGTAATCGCTTCTGTTCTACGTATCTTACTACTGAGTGCCACCAGCGATTGCCGTGGGTCCCCGCCGTCCTCAAGCGGTCAGACTCAAAGAGCTCCTAACCTCAACTTCTCCATCATCCTATGCACTCAAATGAGATCGCGTGATCGCTTACTTATCTCGCTGACGGAGACAATTCCGTCGGTCGACCACCCATCCTCCGACGCCCCGGAGTGTACCTAGGGGCCACCCTAGCCGCCGCCAGCCAGTCTGGTGGCGCGGGCGCCTGTTAGTCATGATCCAGATCGGCAACCAGCGCGCGGTCGATCTCCGATATTGAGTACGTGACAGTTTGGCGGTGCTGCTCACACCATACGTTGACTCCCGTGCGCGGTTATTTTGGGCGAACTCATGGAGACCTCGTGCTCTGCTCGCTTCTAGCTTGCTGGCTTTCCGACCTGGCGGCCACCCCGTCGCATTCCAATAGCACGCAGCTAAATATGATCACCAAACGCGTCACTATTATCACCGACAGCTATCCTTGTTAACACCCGAATGACACGGAGTAATACTTCACGTATACATTCAAACCAGATGGGCGTATTCCGCACTCGTGATACGCGGTATTTGATCTAACTTCAAGGGCCGGGCTCGTTCAAGATTCACATCATTCAATCACACGAGTCGTTAGTAAGTAGTTTCATCATTCCTACTTTCTTGAGCCATGCGCATTCTTTCGGCCTCCGCATATAAGTCATATATAGCTACTGGCGATGGAACATAGTGTATAGATAGTGATAAGGTATATACTGATTATTAATATAATCACTACTCAGTATATGTCTGCATGGTACATACGTGGTGAGTAGCCACTGCACTCTGACCATCACATGTAGCGCACCTCAAGCGAATATAAGAAGGCTCAAAACTGCGCTGCCTCCATAAGACAGTCACGATTCCGCGATTACTCGGAAGGATCGGGCGCGGCCACTCTACTGTTTATACCGTTCAGGCGCGAAGGATTGTGATAGAGAGACCTTGAAGCACACGCGGGATGTCACCTAGCGAGAAACCCGAACCACAACGTTCGACCTCTGCGACTGCTTTCGCGATGCGCCACTGCTCCACGCCTCCAGCCGCGTTTGTGGCTGCAGCAGCAGCCGGGGTGGCGCGGCCTGCGGCCGGTGCGAGGCGCCTGAACACCACGTCAGCGTGAGGACTCGGTCGCGTGGCCATGCCCACGCCATTTATGGGCAGGTTGCCGGATCGTCACCATCCTCGAGCAGCTGCCGGTGCCGCCTTAGCCAACGATCGCGTTGCACGGATAGTGAGCGTCCTGGCACCCTGGCCGCTCTGCCCGCTGGTAATCAGAACCGGCGCCGAGCATGGATGTAGGCGCGACCGCGTGGGCAGCCATCAGCCGTCCCGTTCTGCGGATCCGACGGATTTTCCGCTCGCGTGGTCCCGCCCGCGGTGGCGCACCTGCTGTGCCCTGCTGCCGCCGCGGCCAGCATCGACCTCGTCGCACCTCCCGTTTCTCGCCGTCCGCCTACTTCCGGTGCGTTGCAACAGACCATGGCCTCCGCTGGTGGCGTCAGAAGACCGGGGCACCCCCGCCCCACAAAAAAATAATTCGAACAGACGCACAGTCCCCCCGTCAGACACCGACCCGCAATTTAACGTACGAAATACGACATATACTTGCCCTGGTTGGCGATCCGCTTATCCACGAGTACAGAGGATGCCACCGGTTACATGACTCGAGTCCCGTTCCAGTACGAAGTCACGTGCATTAAACTCAACATTCGATAGCAGGAGTGATTACTCACCGGATCAGTCGGCAATCTCCACTCGCCCAACAAAACATACGGCCCCCCGGCAAGTCGAGCGGTCGGAGCGCGATGTTCTAATCGATGGGGGTGAGCGGTAGGGTCCTTATCGCTTTCGGGCGTGGCCGGTAGAAGCCTGAGGGGATCAATCCAGGAAAAACATCGCGTTATAAAAACATCAGGGTGTAACATACACTCCTAATAAAACACGACGCGCCTCCAACTCAGTTGCATATCTCAAACCGATGGGTGGACTGCCGCGGGTATGATGCCACTCACTCAGTGGGCCCGCTGCACAAAACTCGAGGAGCATCAGTAAGAACCCTGCAACCTCACACCAGTTCGGGTGACTGGGGTTATGAGGCTGCAACAGGCTCACACCGTCTGGGTGGTAAAGTGCGGCTCGGGCTATCGATGCACTCCGCACCCGTAGACCGCTGCCCACCCCCAAAACTGAAGCCCGCTACGTGAATCCATGGCACCCTCACCACTGGTCCGAGCGCCTGCGGCGTATACTTAGTAATCGGCAGGCAAATCCCCAACTACTGGTGGAACTGGGAAGGTAGAATCGGACATGAGCACTTCCCATGGTCTCGACCCTGCCGGAACGAACACTCGTACTGACTTCTCTGTTCAATTCTCCACGCCGGATGAGTAGATGATGATCCTGGGAGACTGACGTGACCCACCCCCATCAACCTCAGTGGCGTCGCAGCTCAGGGATACGAGGCTCGCGACTACTCCCCCCTGATGCGGTGACCATGGGGGGAGCTGGTTGTCAATAGATGCGCATCGTGCGACTCGCCCTCCGGATAAGACGCTGAGGCGGTCATGATTGGCACAAATCAATAATAGAGGTGACCTAGAGCGTATGAAATGAGCACACCTCGACCACTGGGTCACTAAAAGGCTATGATGGACTCCACGTATAGCTGGACT